GCTCAGCTGGAGTTAGACGAAGAGACAGGTGAATTTGTTCCTGTTCAGCCAGCTCAGCGCATTCAGTCAGAAAATACTGAGCCGCCAATCGGTTTCTCACAGGTAAACTCTTAATACGTGTTTGTGAGTGTGTTTAAACCTTTTTCCATCCGCAGGATGGAAAGACATAATGTTAGTGGTTACCTAAAATGAATTTGCATTCGTTGCTGTAATGGAAGATTCTTCGGTTATTCAAAGATGTAGTAATATTTTTTCATAACTTTCCTATTTAGACCGCACAGACTTCAAAACCAGAAGCAGAGGCCTTGTCCTTTGATGACTGCATGCAGCTCTTGGCAGAAGCATTCCCATTTATAGATGACAATGAGGTAAAAAATGCTCAATACAGTACTTTCACAGGTGGTCTCCTAGGGGATCGGGCTCTTGTGTTCTCTTACTGAGATTTGTCTTCAGCATAATACTAATTTGTGATATGATTTGAGTTTTGTCCTCAAGCTGAGTCCAACTGGAATGAAGCAGTGTAGTAGGCTTGAAGTAGGGCAGTGGCCGGAGGGAGTGGAGCAGTACTCTTGCCTTCCTTCTGCTTACTGAGTCCGGCAGCGGACTTTGTCGGCTTGCGACAGCGAGCTTAGTGCAGCTCTCTGGAGTTCGTGCATTTGAGTTCCTTCATTTCCATGAGCTGATCCAGACTATCGGATGTGTAAGGATAAGCCCTTCACCAGCCAGTTTCTGGATTTTTGTTTTCCTGGGCTTTTTTCTTGAATATGAAAACGCCTTTCATAAGAATATTTTTATATTATCCCATTTTTTACAAAAAGTGCTTTTGTTAAGAAATACCTGTCTGTCTGTTCTGCAGAAATGGTAGAACGCCAAAACCCATATTTTTGCTTTGGGAAGTTCAAAGTTGGTTTTTTTGAGTAGGGTTTCTTAATGTGGGGGATTTTGTTGTTGTTATTGTTGTTTTGTTTGTTTGGGGTTTTTTTCAATTTTTTCTTTTTTTTTTTTTTTTTTTTTTAACACTTCAGGCTTCTTCAGCTGCATTTCAGTCACTGGATCCTACTCAGATCGATAGCAACCCAGTCTTCGCTGCTTCTGATCAAACTCAGGCACCTGAATCACCTGTTCTAGCTCCACTTGCTGATGCAGAGAATATGCAGAACATAGAGCAAGTTTGGGAAGAATTATTGTCCCTTCCAGAGTTACAGGTAAAGGTTTAGTGTGTTAAGCACCTGAAAAAAAATAGCATGGTATTTTGGAGAATGCAGTACAGTACATCTTAACAGGTGGTGATTATGGCTGTCATGTTGGATCCTACACTTCTAGGTTGTTTATAACTCAATATGAGCTTTAATTTTTCAAAAAGAATATATTGAAAAACGTGTAGGAGGAAGGAAATTGGTTGCTTATCAGAAGGCCTTAATAAAACACAATCTATATTCCCAATCAGAATTTCCCCATGTTTAGCAAGTCATCATTTGCCTCTCTATGCAACTCGTTACAGCATGATCATGCTTGAAATTTCAGCTGCTTAAAAACAGATGCTTCTGAATTATGGATCTATGACAGGAGTTGTTTCCACAAGCATTATTGTAAATGGGGTTTTTTGCAGTGTCTGATTATGCAAGTCATTTACGGTTACTTTTGTATTCAACTTTTATCTAAGGAAAAGGTTTCGTAAAGATGATGATGGAACGTATATTTAGATACGTAGAAGAGTCACGTATAGTTATATAACTACTGTTTGTATATGTTCAGTAAGAACTAATAATGAACAATCATGAACTGAGTATTTCAAAGGAACCAAAAAAATCACTTTGCTATATTTCAAAATTGTGCATTACGGAGGACGTCTAGGGTTTTCTTTTCCCCACCTCTCATCCTTATGTTTCTATTTATTTTCCTTAGATTTGACTATAAAACTGAGTAAATTTATTTTCAAATATATTACTGTAGAACATCACCATGCTTTAGCAAGATGCTGCTCTACTTTATGCTGCTAACACGAGATGAATGCTTGGTGGAATGCCTGTAAATCTGATTCATATTTAAAAAAAAGTTCGCAGGAACCACCACTCTACATTTTCCCTTTGTCTTTTTATATTTTTTCAAAATTTTCCTAGTTCCCTAATCTTTGCTCCTGTGGCAGGCTTAAAAGCCCCACAATAAGTAACAAGGGCAGTTGGCTGTGAAGAGGCAGCAGTGGTGCTGAAAATACGTTAAGAAACCAAACCAAAATTATCTGTTGCAGTAATTCTGAATAGCAATTGAATAATCTTCAAGAAAGAAGTGAGATCGTTAAATTGAGGGCATTGCCTTTTACAAATTATGTTTGAAGAAAAGAAAAAAAAAAAGAGCTCTCATTCAAAACCTTAGCTTAAGCCTCGAACGATCTCTGGTTAAATAATCAGTGTGTGGTCTCTTCTTAAGAGGAACAGAATCATTTTGGTAATTGCCTAATTCTTTGGGGACAGCAGGCACACTTATTTCAGCTTCAGTTAAGAAACTGCCACCCCGTTGGAAAGAACATTGGTCTTGCAGCCAAGGAAAGCCCATCAATGTAATAGTCTTTGACGCTCACACTGATGTCAGCCAGCTTAACTAAAAGTACACGGGGTGAGTTAATGTTTGCAAGGCTTTGTGTTAGTACTCTCTTTACTTCACCAAGAATTACATTTCTCTGCACTGAACAGCTGCTTCATTCAGTAAAGCCTAAAAGAATCTTGGTTTTTGAGGAAAAGAAATCCATCACATAGCATGAAATTAAGAGTGCTAAAAGTAACTGTTTGCTAGTAGTGCTTGCTATGTCTCATTCAGTAACTTTACATTTACCCATTACATGTGCTCATGCCGTTCCTAGCGGTGGTGCTTGTGAGAAGTTCAGACCTGGCAGCTCCAGGATCCCCACTAGCAATTTACCAGAACAGGAGGGCTCCGTGCAGCTTCCATAAGCATTGGAATGGGTCTCTTCAGCATCTTGCTAGGAGTTTGAGAGACTCTGCTCCCTTAATCTAAATAGCTTTGTCCAGAACCAGTTGCTTCATACCCTTGCTTAGGCATCTAATCAGCTTCCTAGATTGCCTCTGCGTAAAGTGTATTGTAGTCATCTAGGTTACAGCAGTATTGTAATACCCATTTTATGTGTGGTGTTGATTCTTAAGGTATTTAATGTTTGTGGGTTATAGAAAAAGGTTTTATCAGTTGGAGGTGTGTTGCTCAACTTCTCTCTTGCATTTCCCATGTAGTGTCTTAACATTGAAAATGATAACCTGGCTGAGGTAAGCACAATCGCAAGCCCTGAAACCAAGCCAACAGAGATGCAGAACAGCTATAATTACTACAGCTCGTTACCCATCATGAGAAAAGACGTTAACTGCGGTCCAGATTTCTTGGATAGTATCGAGGGCCCCTTTTCCAGCATTTTGCCACCGGAAGACACCAGCCAGCTGAGCGTGAACTCTTTAAATGACATGTCCCCTTCAAACTCTGATTTCTGTGAGGATTTCTACACCACCTTTATTGATACAAAGGCGAACGGTGACACAGCAACGACAAACACCATCAGTCAATCACTTGCGGAAATTCTAAGTGAACCTATTGATCTTTCTGATTTCTCACTGTGTAAAGCTTTTAATGGCAACCTCTCAGGAACCCTACCAGAATGTAATGATTCTGACTCTGGCGTTTCACTGAATGCAAGTTCTAGTGTAGCATCACCTGAACACTCTGTCGAATCATCCGCCTATGGAGATAAGACTTTTGTTTGTAGCGATTCGGAAATGGAAGACATGGATAGTGCTCCTGGAAGCGTGCCGCAGAGCAACGCTCACCTGCAGTCTTTGCAGTTCCAGGATCGAGTCTTCTCTTCCGTGGGGCCAAGCACTCAAACGCCTAGTTTGCAATGTACAAACACGCCAAAGAAAGAACCCCCTGCCGGTCCAGGCCACCCCAAAGCCCTGTTCGCAAAAGATAAACCCTCAAGCTGCCTTGAAGCTCATCTCACAAGAGATGAGCAAAGAGCAAAAGCTCTGCAGATCCCTTTTCCTGTTGAAAAAATCATCAATCTCCCAGTTGATGACTTCAATGAAATGATGTCTAAGGAGCAGTTCAGTGAAGCCCAGCTCGCGCTTATTCGAGATATACGCCGGAGAGGCAAGAACAAAGTGGCTGCTCAAAACTGCCGTAAAAGAAAACTGGAAAATATAGTGGAACTGGAGCAAGACTTGAGTAACCTAAAAGATGAGAAAGAGAAATTGCTTAAGGAAAAAGGAGAGCACGACAAAAGCCTCCGACAAATGAAAAAGCAGCTAACCACCTTATACCTTGAGGTCTTCAGCATGCTGCGCGATGAAGATGGAAGGTCTTACTCTCCTAGTGAATATTCGCTGCAGCAAACTAGAGACGGCAATGTCTTTCTTATTCCTAAAAGCAAGAAGTCAGAGACTAAACTTTGAAGGGCAGCACAGCTGGCTACTGTTCTCAGAGTTGTTATTTTTGTATCGCTACCCTGATAGTTTTTACTGTGAGGTGGAATGCAAAATCAGATAATATTTTTCAAGTAATTCTATGCAATGATAATTTTAAAGCTAATGATTAGTTTGTGGAAGATGCAAGTTTAAAACTAATAGTGTAATGCAGATGGACGTATGCAAAATTTGTAATCTCACTTCTATAACAGACATTTCCTTCTTATAGCACCACTTTGACTAGTTTCCATATACATGTAAATATTTAAAGATACCATATTTATATACTGTTCCTATCTCTTGTTATATTCATAGATTTGAGAGAGAGAGAGAGAGAAATATAAATGATTTTAGCCTTCTAAATATAATTTCTTGCAAGACAAACAGTACGGCTTCTGATACTTTTTTATAAATATGCAATAGTGTGTTTCCCATTTTTCTTACACATTTATACTTGCTTTATATTTAATATATTATTTTAATTTAGTATAAAAGTTGATACCTAGTGTTTGATTTTGATTTATCAGTTCATTAAACTTTTTTTTTTTTTTTAACTCTACTTCATACACATTTATTTCCCTAAAGGAGGGAAACCCTCACTAGTTTTCCCTGGCTACGTCTTCATGTAACAAATACGCTTAATAACCGGAGATGTATTGCACAGCATCGTCAGCATTACTAATGCTTCGTTTGGCATCATTTTAACAGCCATTTGGAAGGACTGTGTAACACAAAGTTAAGTTTCAAATCTGTGCTAAGTTTACATAGTTTTTATTTTGCTCTTTGAACACTACTTAAATTGAGGGAGGATAGATCTTTCCTCTAAAGGCATTTAAAATCTGTTAATGAAGACACTGTCAGCATTATGCCTTTTTCTGGCTAAAAATTCTGTACGCTTCCGAGTAATTGTTCTAGAAATACACCACACCTCTCTGACTCTGATCAGCGAGCGCCGCTTGTCACTGCTGTTACTTTGGAGCTTACGGAAGGAGGGATACCAACTGCCTGCCAACTGCACTGTTTGGAACCTGTGCTCACTTCATTGAAAAGCACTGTGGAGTTTAAATTATGACCTAGAAGAGAATAAAAATGGGGCAAATAAATAGCATTGGTTTGTTTACTCTTCTAATGGACTCATTGTACTTGATCATTGTGGATTTTTTTGAATACAGAAAATGCATAATTTGTGATTTGAAATACACATACTGATCTGAACATTAAAAACTGTATCATCTTTCTTCATCTTCCCTGTGACACTCCTAAAAGGCACCTTTAATCCAAAATGGTTCTTCTGCCACTGATGCTCTGTATCATTTTAGGAATACTTGGTCTATTACAATATTACGCATAACTTCACTTAGGATAATAAACACCATGTTGTTTTGCAAGACCTTGTGGTACACTTCTTTAAAAGAAGGAACAGGAGATACTGAAAAAAGGTAGAGTAGGACCCACAAAAATTGTTTAATAATGTTGTAGGAAAGAGGTTTTGAAGAGGAAACCATTAGCTCGTTATTCACAAAGTTAGAGTAATGCTAAAGTGATGTGGTTGTTGGTGAATTCAGTCTCGAGATTTTTATTTCCCAAACTTTTTAATGATGCTGGAGTTGCACATCCAGCAGAAAGGATCTCCTCTCATGGCTGGCCATGAAAGCCAAAGGAACAATTTTAGATTATCATAATCCCACTTCCATACTGTATCACTTTTTATGGACCTTCGGAGTGTCCTCAAAGAAAGAAAAAAGAAAGAACAGTGCAAAGAGGCAGTACAGAAAGCTGTAGTTCTGGTGAATATCGATCTGTCACAGGTCTGTCTCCTGGTCTTGACTGTTCTATGCTGTTTGCTGCTTTCCTACACCTCTCCAGTGACTCAGCCCTCTCACCTGAACAGACTTAACTAGTTCGGAGCCCGCGATTATGCAAGTACCAGGTTTGGTTTTCCCTGTATGCAGAGAATTTCAGATGCTATTTTATTGTCCACCTGGTCACAGCAGTATCGGTGTAACTGCAGAATCACCTTTGGTTTTTATTACCCCAAATAACTTTTTATTTCCAATCTCTGTCACCTTGTCATTCATCTTCCCGGTAAATCAGTTACTGATTCCGCATAGCAGAGGCCTCTCTGGTGCCTGGTGCAGACGCACACACTCGCCCTCTAACCAGAGAAGAGCAGGGGTAGGAAAGCAGAGCAGTTAACAGCTTCACCAAGAAGGCAGTTTCGCTCCAGGGCAGTGTAATGCCAGGAACCCTGACCCTATTGACTCTTTAAAAGGTGAGCATAATGGCCAACATACCTAAACCCGGGACTATCAGTTATTCCAGCCCTACCTACCTTAAGAGAAAAGGAACAGTTTCACACACAGCCTCTCATACCCCGTTACTTGCTGCGAGGTCCTGCCCCACAAAACGTCTGTATCTGAGGCGGCAGATACAGCAAAGTCATGAAAACACCTGCAGCCTCACACTTCCAGCATCCCTGGAAGGACTAGGAACCCTACCCATTACATCAAGTAGTAACATCTGGTTTTGCAGAAGACATCAGGAAACGTAAATCCAGGTGACCTAACTTGCACTTCTGAGACTGCTTACCTTGCTTATCCTGACCTTCTTCCTTCCTAACGGCGCACCAGTCCATCCCACTGCGCAGTCCTTGACACGCTCCGAATGAAGAACACTCCTCTTTTTGGAGCAAACAGTCAATACCAACGGTTGAAAACCCAGAGGCTGGATCTGATGGACAAAGCAGGTCTATTTGCTCTAGATAGGGGAGCCAAGCACCAGCTAAAGCGAGTCGAAGATACTGCAGCAGTGAGGGGTATTTTTTCTTGCTGCTGTTGTTCCAATGCATCTCTACTGACTTTGCCACCAGCCCTGCCTACGAAGGAAAACAGCCCTAGCAGTCGCCAAGCCTGGGTGAACACTAGGGGAATGTGAGACACCGCTGCCGTTTAAAGCGAGAGGATCTAAAATCCATAAAGGACAGCAATTTTAGAGCATAAGCATTAAGGAGGAAGCAGAGTGAGCTGCAGCCCTGGACCGTCTTTCAACACCGATGCACAGTAGCTCTGACGCATGGGTAGGTCTGATGGCAAAGCAGAGAGCGCCTGAAGAGGAAGAGCTCCTGGGTTCTTCCCCTGCCCTGAACTAGGCTAGCGAACATCTGACTTGCAGAGAAAATGTTCCCTCTAGCCGTAATACAGATACTTACAAATTGGCCACAGAGACCTCTGTAAACCCCTGCCCTCTGCTTCCATTTGTTCCTTATTTTAGCATGAAAGCCAAAGGCAAACAGCATCCTTACAGCCTTCGCAGGGGCCGCTGTATTTCTGCTACCACATTTCTGAAACCTAATGCAGGGATACTCATTCCCTCACCACAGTGAACAGAGCAACAACAAAAAAGCTGCAGTTAATGCAGAAGCCTTGATCGAATTCCACCCAGCAAAGCATCAGTGTGAAGTAACTCGGACCACAACAGCTTGCATTCAGTTTAAACCAGTACTTTTCATATCATGGAGGCAGTGACCGTTGTACACGCATCGAAACACACACCACCACTGAGGAAGGAAAAAAAAAATGTTCTCCATTTGATTATTTTGGTACACGTGGAAACATCAGATCGCAAACTATATCCTTAATTTTATTATTATTACCGAGGTACAGAGTATGTTCCCAAACTTGAGAGCGACAAAGTGACATTGCCAAGTGTAACGCATCACAGTCAGTGCTGACCTCATACACTGACAAGTCTCCACCTGAAGACCGTTTATTTCTTGATGAAAACATTCAGTTTTAACACTGTTAACAGGGAAGCCGAGGAGCTGGGCTGAACCACGGTTTTCTGACCGGCAGTCCTGAGCTGGAAAGATGATCCTGTAACTCACAATGTGTTGCAATAAGTTAAGACCGCTTTGTGTTCCTCACAGCACTAAAAAAAGGTGATGGCAACACAGTTTAGATGGTAAGTCATTTGACAATATACACTTTATTCTGATACAAAATTGAAATATTTTAACAAATTTCAATCCATTATGGACTATACTGCAATTTTTAACTTCCATGCTATTTTTAAACTTGTTTAACCACAAGTTCTAAGATCGCAGCACACTAGCACCATTGCTCTTGAAGTCTCTGCCAGTTATTACAACACATTTTTCTGTTTCCAATCTTGCGATATTATCTTCTACATGAAGGCCATTTTTCTTCTACGGAGATACTTGGATTACTTTAGTTCAGGAAAAAGCTAATCTTAGACAGAGATGTCAACCTGTAGCACCCACAGCAGAAAAAGAACCATCCATCAGATATCTGAATTTGAGCGACAACTCAAGATCTTTCATGCTCCACACAATTTAAGATACAAACACTTGTCAGAGACCACAGACTGATACGTAAGCGAATATTCCACTGCAGCGCAGACAGTATATGGAAACACGTTAATGTCTTAAACACAGGAACCAAAAGACAGCAAGTCAGCACATCACACAATCAATGCTTGAAAGCCTAGGAGCATTCCCCTTCCCGCCTCAAACATTTAAAGGATATCAAAGTTACGATGCTGCATTTAATTCCAGTGTTCCCTAGTAACAAAACACAACATCTGCATCAACCTGGGCCCCTTTTGGGGAAATACACATTTTGCTACCTGGAAGTACCATTTGCTTTTAGGTTAACACGCAGGTTTCGATATCAAATAAACGTCTGTAGAACTGCAGGTTAGGGAGCAACGCTTTGTGAACTTTACATCTTTATATCTCCATTTACAGCTGCTACTTCCAGTAGCAGCCACTATAGAAAAGCCTAGCCAGGAAACAATATTCTTAACTCTTGGAAGTGCCTCTTGGACAAAGATATGCTTGACCAAGTACTCCTAAAGGATGTGTTTATCTCTGATGAGGTTTATTTCTAAACAAATTGGGGTGTGAATAACTGAGATTAAGCAAAATAGACTAACAAGAGTGTTGTAAATCCAAGTGTGAAAATAACTCTAACAGCGAATATCTAGTTCTTATACGTGGTGCAAAGAGGCCCCTCCAGAGCACAGAGCAAAGCCTGCAGCAACGCAGAACCCTCCAATTTTAAGGAAAGGCAGAGCTTTGCTCTATATGCAGGCCTAGCAATGGGATGCAAACTGGAAGTTAAGACTTACTTTTGTTAAAACATTTTAAAGATTTCACTGTTTAAAAACTTCAATGCGTCCTGTCCCCCTCCCCTGCCAAAGTACAAAAGCGTTTGCCCTCAGCAGGGTAACCAAGGCTTTTCCCCGCCAGCCGCTGCTGCGTGCGGGTGCCCCGGCGAGCTCACAAGGGCAGCTCTGCCTAGCAGAGGAAAAGCAAAGGTTTCCCACCTCCGGGTGCAAGAAAGCAAGTTTGTCACCTCAGCACCAAGCTGCTAAAGAGAGAGAGGCTGCGACCTCGCTGCGGAAGTTCTGAATTTTGGCTCACCCTTGGCTAACTAAAAAAAGTCTGTCAGCGTTTTTTTAAAAATACAGTCGCTGTGAGATTTCCGTTAAGTAGCTCCTGAAAATGAAAATCTCAACAAGACCATTGCAAATTACTTCCAAGTTAACTTTTAATTGTACGTTACAGTGTCAAGAGTCTGCTTTCCGGATGTTTGTTTACAGACAGCAGGTAACAGGTTTAAGTACTTGAATCAGTCTGTGAACACACCTAAGCCCCAGGTTAAACCAAAATGCAAAGGTTCCATTCAACTTTCTTTTCTAACTGAAGCATAACCAACACTAAAATAGAAACTGACTTCGCAAAAATAACGCAGACTCAAAAACGTATTGGTAAGTTTAAATAGGTACTGGACTACTATATAAAAGGAGTTAAAAATACCCCAGGCCCAACAACCGAAGGTGCAGAAAAGGAAACGCACGTTCCAAGAGTTAAGAACCAGTGTGCACAAAAGTGGATTCCATGGAAAGTTCTTTTGTCGCCATTCGTCTGTATAAACGCAGCTGTGCTTTCAGCTGGGTGTCACGCGAGAGTCTCACCCTCCGCTAAACTACCCAAGGCGGGGGGGAGGGGGGGGAGAAATCTGGAACTCTTTGATTTGCACAGATACATACAAACCCACCTGGTAAGCCAAGATTAACGCATGAGGAGGGAAACCACTGCTCTACCCAAGGCAAAGCGCCTCTACAGAATTACTGCGGCGGCAGCGTACCGCGCGCTACCGAGAATTGCGATGACCCGCTTCAGCATCTTCACCTTTCTGGGTTTCTGTAAGGCGGCTCTTTCTATTACAAGGCAACAAACAGTTTCTCGAGAACCCCCACTGCACGCTCCCCGCGGAAACCAGAGCGCACATTTCAAAACATTGATCGTTTCTGCCTTGTCGATCTCGGGCACGCAGCAGTTTTGTACCTGCCAGGAGCAGAAGATTCTTGGCTAGCAACTATGCCAGCACGCAACCCTCGCCCGGAGCAGGCAACACTGGCTGGCGCGTGCTGGAATACTTGCTCCTTAGTACCTAAGGCTTTCCTTGGTATCAAGAGGCTGGCAAAGGAAAGCCTAGGAGGAAATAAGCGTTAAACAAGTGTTGTACTATACACTACAAGTCTTACCCAGTCAGAAACCTTCAATTGAAGAGGATGTGCAAGACATTCCCCATTTTGTCAAGCAGCAGCTTCTCATTCAACCTGTAAATTAAAGACATTACTCTTACCTTGTTTAAAAACCTCCCGCTACTCTTTTTAATTCATGAAAAATGTTAAAGGCAAACCTTACCTATGCTCATTGCCCTTCCTTTCAGGTCTAAACGCTAGACCTATTGATTTTGAGTCAACTCAAGTAGCTATCACTCAAGGAGGTTCCAAGGGGTGAAGAACTCTTGCTAGACTTTCTTCCGATATTTCAGCTGTGATAAGCGGATTTAACTAGCCTTTGGGAAGCTGCTCACTATCAGCACAGTATCTTATGCCTTCACTTCTCTGGAAGTTGAAGCTGTTGCTCCTGCTGCCTTGTCATTCTTTAATTATGCTGACTTCTCCATACTCAATAGGCTGCTGAAGTCCTGTCTTATGAGTCTCCTTAGCAAAGTATGGATCAAAGAAGGACATCCTAGGTTCTTTAGAGCTGGTTAATCACTGTCCTTACGCTC